AAAACATTCCCATGATACAAAAAGAGTTGATATATATATAGTTAAAATAACGTTCATAAGACATTTATATACCATCAAGATCAATCATTGGACTTACTGATTACAATTATAACATGAAGTAAGTGAAACTATAGAGAACGTTAGCCGCACAATAGAGAAACATATTCTTTAGTTCCCACTCTTTTCCAATGTCATCAGTGATTTTTTGATTACTTAGCGCTGCGAAACAGTATACATAAATATATACATATACATAATATATATAGTGTATCGAAAATGTTATCAAACAAGAATAAATAAATTCAAAATTAACAGCAAGAATCTAAACCGAGATTAAAGTGTCAGCTGTAACACACAGTAAAAGGAATTTCAAAAAAATGAGCTATTAACATCAAAAATCAGAAGTATGAAATTGTGCACGTCATCTTCATCAGTTTGGAGTGAATGTAAGAAGTGTGATACTTTTAGTTATTCTTTTTATATACAAACTTGGGAATGAGACGCATATGATACTGATATTACTCAGAATAAAACATAATTATACACACACACACACACAGATATGTATGTGTCAGAACCTAAAACTTTATAAGGAATTTATTGAGGTTTAAGACAAAATGTTTAAAAATATTCATTTTGTTCAATTTTTCAAATATTTCAAGTCAATATTTTTATTGCTGCGAAACTGATAAAAAGTTTTAAGTTGCAAGAAGACGTCTTTTATACTGTCATCTACAAAATTGTTACTCTGTCATTTTTATTGTTCGGGCACAAAATGATAACGCTAGAGACAGGCCGGTTGATTTATATAGGTGTATATATATAATATATTGTATTGGTGATTCGATAACTATATCACTCAATTTCATTAATTCAACTTTCGACAACTCCCAACTTTGTTGCATCGCTAATGGGGAAACCTGGAAAATAATGGGCTGTTGATCATTCCGAAAAATTATTAATAGTCTTAACATACATATATATGTGGTATACAAGAAATTCGATAAATCACAATTCTATTGCAGATAAAAAAAAACACGTAAGAAAATTAACTTACTACCCCGGTATCTCTCTAGAAAGTAGCTTACGGTGTATTTAATTCATGTTTGATAAAATCTTAATTCTTAGAACCGTTATCAGCATGTGACGAAATAAAACAACATAAATACATTTTCAACAGTCTAAATGAATCCCCCAAACACTGTTATATATGTGTTAATTTAGGAAATGGGCGTTTTTTAAAAGTTTTTTAAGTAATTTAAACCGTGTTTCAAAACCCCTAACAACTCAAGAAAACGTTTTAATTAATTGGGTGTGTTTATCACTAACTTAAAAGTAAACATTCGAAAAAAGTCCCGTAGCTGGGGCACGTACAATGGTCAGCTTTTTTGTAACTTCTGTTATATTAGCAAAAACGATTTACAGTAACAATCGCTTGGACTTGATCTCGTGTTTAACGTGCTAATGGCTTGGATGTGGTCTCATGTTTAATGTGCTATGTCACGGATCAGCTTTCTGCTGTGGATGCGGCATAAAAATACCAGTCTGTATCAGCGGTTCTCAAAGTATGGTTGACAGACCACTGGTAGTCTGCGAGGGTCCTCCAGATGGTCCGCGGGCTGGTCCATAATGCAAGTCACTGACGCGCAACGCCACGGCCAGTCTTCTAATTAATTCCGATGAGTTTTTTGCGGTGGCAAGCGAAAGTGGGTGGCGTATGTGGTCCGCTGGGTCTTTTGTCCTGCCAAAGCTGTCGAAAGACGAAAAAGTTCGAGAACCACTGGTCTATATCGCTATTCGGTTACTTAAGAATGCCCCTGTAGACAACAGGTGCTGTTGACTGATTGCCTTACCTCTGGTCAGCAGTCCTAAACAAGGGATGATTAAGCCTGAACCTTGTTTCTTTATCCTAACTTTTTAACCCATAAATTACATAAGATGCTCTTCAGATTGAAAATATACGAATAATGATGATATTATTAAATAGGGAAGCAGTAAAACAGTGATTAATTTCAGGCATGCACGGAGTAGTAGTTACATTACCATATATCCATAATACAAAAAAATATATTTGTATAGCGGTGATAAAATATATCTTAGTTTGTAAAATTTCTTTTAATTTGCAAATTATTACAAGAATCGGTCCAGAACGACATACATATATAATACACCATACATCCATATATACAGTTACATCATTCTGGAGTTACAGCAGCGGCCGGATTTCCCTAAGCTCTACTTCCATCAAAATGGCGCACCACACCAATTCGCTCATGCGGTCTACGATTGTCTTGATGAATATTTCCCTCAGAGATGGATAGGCCATAGAGGAGCAATCGAGATGCCTCCACGGTCACTGGACTGTACCCCTATGTACTTTTTCATGTACTCAATGACAAACTGTACGGTGGAAAATTGCGGAATGTTGACGGAATGAAAGGGTACATCACAAACACATTTACAGAACGTGATGGACAGACAGACTTGTGTCAGAAAGTTTGCAGAAGTATGGCAGGCAGACTCCAGGATTGTGTGAACAGCGATGGGATTCAATTCGAACATCTGCAAGATTAACTTTCCCATAATTCCACGTCACGTATAAAGTGTCGTTAAATAAATTATCAATTATCAACTGTATACTTTAATTTGAATTTAATTATTTTAAATACATTATCAGTTATCCACTGCATACCTACTTTTGGGCCACCCTGTATATATACACGTCTATCAGTTTCTAATAATAATAAAATTAAAATATTTAACATCGGTTCTCGTGCATCATGTCTTCTAGTTCTTTTTGTCACCTTTAATAATAAAATATCTATACAAGTATAAATTCGTTTAATTACTAATTACCATGAAATAACTATTAAACTCATATTTGCACCACAGCTGTTACCTCTAAGAATTATTCAATTCATTTTCTTCTTGCGTAAAGAATTTCAACGTCATTTTAAGGTGCTTATTTACTCTCAGCTCGTTTCCAAGCAACATGTGTCACATCTGCGCGCTTTACACGAGATTTCAGATAAGCTAGCTCAGGAACTACAACAACAACGTTTTGTAATTCATTTTGAGACTAACGGGCTGTCATAATATAGAAACATTTAAAACACATAATTTATTTATTTGTATCTTTTGAAAAAAATATACATACTACACACACAAACACATTTTTCAAACTAACCTCATGTAATGGATAGTTTGATTGATGCATGGACAAAAAAAAAGCAAGTCTATCCGAAGATGTGGTATCCCAACACCTGAACCTCACGGGATTCAATCCCAAGACGAATCAGTTAAAAGGTTAACCATTAACCAATTAGTTACTACTAGTAAGACAGTTTTCTAAACCTCAGGCTATACCAAAATGCCTTACAAAATGCGTAAGATATATTTACGTTTCAAGCCACACATAAACTAAATAAAGAAATTTTACAACGATACTAGAGCTATATAAGTCCGTTTTCTAGATATACACGAACAATATTAAGTCCATTTTTCAATTATACACGAACGACATAAAATCCATTTTTGAGCAATATATGAAAGAGGTAAAGACGTTTTCCAAAAGTGTACGAACAAGATAAGGTCTGTTGGAAACGTGCGATATTAAGTCCGTTTTTGAGCAATACATGAAAAGAGGTAAAACCTGTTTCCCAAATGTATACGTGTAAGATAAAGTCTGTTTACCAGTTATACACGCGTAAGATAAAGCCTGTTTTTCAGCAGGATATGCATAAGATAAAGTATTGTTTTCCAGTAGTATTCGCGTTAAGAAAAGGCCTGTTTTACAGCTACCCACGCGTAAGATAAAGCCTGTTTTTCAGCAGTATATGCATAAGATAAAGTATTGTTTTCTAGTAGTATTCGCGTTAAGAAAAGGCCTGTTTTACAGCTACCCACGCGTAAGATAAAGCCTGTTTTTCAGCAGTATATGCATAAGATAAAGTATTGTTTTCTAGTAGTATTCGTGTTAAGAAAAGGCATGTTTTACAGCTACCCACGCGTAAGATAATGTATTGTTTTCTAGTAGTATTCGCGTTAAGAAAAGGCCTGTTTTACAGCTACCCACGCGTAAGATAAAGCCTATTTTCCAGCTATATACGCGTAAGATAAAGTATTGTTTTCCAGCTATAAATGATAAAAAAAACTCGTTTTCGAGTTATACACGAACCAGGTAAATGTATATCTATATAACAACACTGATAAATAAAACCTTAGTAGCCTATGATGACCTTTGCTTGATATTGTAGATTTCTGAAATATTTTAGGGTAACTATGTGACAAGTAATATTTAAATTATTTGAGGATGAGGGAGTTAGTTAATATAAATGCTGTCAAACCCACTAAACTTTCCTGACAAAAACTTGGATAAATATGCTATTGTAAATAATTTAAGAATATTAAACAATTATCAATAAAAACCTTTTATTAGCCTCTATTATATAAGACTTTCTTATGCCACCATTAACTAACCAATTAGGATTTTTATAACAAAGTACAGAGAGAAAAACAAAAAAGAGTTCTGAAGGAAACAAGAAAAAGACAAAATAAAGCATACCTTTCACTATTTCTTAGTTTTCTCTCTCTCTTTGCCTAAAATTATTAATAAGTTCTTCTGAGTGAAAGTAAAAAACAGTTTATAACAATATGTCAATCACACTACATATGCTATGTCTAGTGCCGACGAGGCCTTTCGCTCAATACCAGGGCCTGGGCTATTCAAGCCGGCTGAGACACTGTTTGTATTATCAAACTGCTTAAATAAATATTTCGGTGTGAAATGGATTAAAGTGAAGTGCATTTTTTCTCAGTTTTATTGAAGTAACTGCAATATATAATTAAGTTAATGATTTTCTAAACACTGTATTATATTGTTTATATATCTCGACACCATATAATATTATTATTTTACTGAACGTAAAGGGCACGTAAAAACAAAATATATTAAATACAATCAACTCAATCTTACCAATATGGAAATACATATATCTTACCATGATCTTTCCCATTAACCAAAGTGTAAGACAAAGCAAATGCCAGCAGCTGCGTATTTCTATCACTAGGGGGCTCTGGATCCTTCCAGGTCACAGTAATGGAGTTTCTATCTACATACTTAAGTGCAACATGCTGCGGAGCTGAAATAAAGGGGGAACGTTTTATTATGAACAACAACAAAAAAACATTTGCGAAAATTTCACTCATGACCTATTTACATGAAAGACGAGGCAAGTTTAATAAAGCTTATCAATGCTTTTAATAAACATCGAGTAATGAGTAGTTTTATTTTTATCTTGAGAACAGTTACAGTTATCAAAATTTTAAAACATAAACATACAAATCTTACCAACTAACACTTTATGTGATAAAAGTGTCCGAAAAATGCTTGGATTTTAAAAGATAACCAAAGGACAAACGTATAAAAACATAAACTTTATATGTGCTTTTTTTGTTGCTGTTTTTTTCGCTCTCTGAGCATCTTCCCGTCGTTTTACTTCTGAAGGTGCTGTTTCGCCGGAAACTACTGTTTTCAAACTCAAAATTTTAATAGATCCTTTAGGGTTTGCTTTCAAAAATCGTATACTAATAGCAAATAAAGAGTGTATAAAAAGCTGAACGATAACTACATGTTATATTTCAACATTTTTCCTTTTCATGACGACGCAGTTCCCTTAAAATTGTGTTATCAAAATCACAAACATGATAAAATGAGCAGTTTCTTAAAACACCCGTGAGTCATTCCATGTCAATCATGATTACAAATATCAGAACCATATGATTAGAGATAATAGAAGGGACTTCTTGGGCCGAATTTAAAAATGTTAAGGTCTAAAGTAGAAATTTGTTATTACATACTAATAACAGATAACAAACAGTATAGTGGCTTTAATGTTAACAACACATTACATGCAGTGAGTGGCTTTAATATTAACAGAAGTAGCTAATAAACAGTATAGTGGCTTTAATGTTAACAACACATTATATGCGGTGAGTTAGTAATAAACGGTATAGTGGCTTTAATGTTAACAACACATTATATGCGATGAGTTAGTAATAAACGGTATAGTGGCTTTAATGTTAACATCTCATTACATGCAGTGAGTGGCTTTAATATTAACAGAAGTAGCTAATAAACAGTATAGTGGCTTTAATGTTAACAACACATTACATGCAGTTAGTTAGTAATAAACGGTATAGTGTCTTTAATGTTAACAACACATTGCATACAGTGAGTTAGTAATAAACAGTATTGCGTATTTAATGTTAACGACACATTGTACGCAGTAAGTTAATAATAAACGGTATAGTGGCTTTAATGTTAACTACACATTACATGCAGTGAGTTAATATTAAACAGTATAGTGTCTTTAATGTTAACAACACATTGCATACAGTGAGTTAGTAATAAACAGTATTGTGTATTTAATGTTAACGACACATTGTACGCAGTAAGTTAATAATAAACGGTATAGTGGCTTTAATGTTAACATCTCATTACATGCAGTGAGTGGCTTTAATATTAACAGAAGTAGCTAATAAACAGTATAGTGGCTTTAATGTTAACAACACATTACATGCAGTTAGTTAGTAATAAACGGTATAGTGTCTTTAATGTTAACAACACATTGCATACAGTGAGTTAGTAATAAACAGTATTGCGTATTTAATGTTAACGACACATTGTACGCAGTAAGTTAATAATAAACGGTATAGTGGTTTTAATATCAACAACACATTACATGCAGTGAGTTAGTACTAAACAGCATAGTGGCTTTAATGTTAACCACACATTACATGCAGTGAATTAATATTAAACAGTATAGTGGCTTTAATGTTAACAACACATTGTATGCAGTGAGTTAACATTAAACGGTATAGTGGCTTTAATGTTAACAACACATGTATGCAGTGAGTTAATATTAAACGGTATAGTGGCTTTAATGTTAACAACACATGTATGCAGTGAGTTAATATTAAACGGTATAGTGGCTTTAATGTTAACAACACATGTATGCAGTGAGTTAATATTAAACGCTATAGTGTCTTTAATCTTGAAAGCGCATTTCTTTTAGCACCATTTTCATTTCGCTGCACAAATGACGAGAGTTTTAGTTTTCTCTGCTACTCTGTTAATCTTCCTCTAGATTGGCCTACTTTTCTTTCTTTTCTTGTTTTAGTTTAACAGAAAATTAAATGACGATCAATAAAATCAATACACTGATTCTATTTCAAACAAAAAGTGAAAACGAATCCGTAAAATATATATTTAAGTCTAGCTGTCACAATCTTAGGTCGGTTAGTTATGGTTTATATGAACATGAGGAAAACACCTGAAGGCGAAGAAAATCAATTTCATATGTTAGATATAATTATTTCACATAATATTAAAGAAATTATGTGATAGTAAAGTACTGAAAATATTTTATTACCCGTAGTTATATATAAGGTAAATATGCAGATTTTCATTTATAAATGGATAGATACCTATTTATAGATTGGCAATCCAATTTTTCGCTTAACGCGGTATTTCAAACTCTACATTTCTTCGACAAGAGAAAGGATCAGACGTTACCAAACTGACATAACTGCGACAGTAGAGAAAATATAATCCACCAAAGTACAGGTAAACATAACGTAGAACGATTATCTTATATAAGAGATAAACAAAGAAGTTGCTGTCGGAAAATACCCTGAAATGTTATTGTGTTTAGAATAAAAAATGAAAAATTCAAACAATATACTGTTACGACAGCGGAAGTCACGTGACGCTAGTAACACGTCATGAGATTCTAG